ACCATTACTACGAGCCACTATATAACTTTATTTACAGCAACAAGTTTGTGTTGTTTTTCCAAAGCAGCAAATGCACATGGTGATATGTCATATAAATTGATAATTACCATATAATTTCTGGATAAATGACTTCTCTTAATCCCTTAATGGAATACCTTTACATGTCCAGGAAACAGTCTTTGTGTTTCAACACGGTTCAATGACTGTGACTCATCGCTTGATTTTCAAAGTTGCAGTATAATTCGCTAAAGCTGAAGTGAAGAGCTCAGACTAATATCACTCGATCCGTATTACTATCAGACTAATAAAATGAGGTATCGCGATCGCTTACTTGTCAACCAAAACGTATTTTGGGTTTCTTCGAAGAAGATATAAAACCATACGCGCATTTTGCCAACCGGCAACGTTAAAAGATTACTGGGTTTAAACCAAACGTTATACGAAGGTGCGAAAGTAGAGATCAAATACGAAAAGGAACTTTACGAAGCACAAATTTTGAAAATTCACGGTAAGTTTAATGTTAGAAATACAAATATCTAGGATTCTAGGTCTGCAACGCTTGTGTATAAGCATAAAACGTGGTGTGAAATCGCTAACATGAATATTTTCCGACGCCCACGGTTTGTTTATGAAAAGCGAAACGCGATAATTTCCGACGATCTACGAATAGAACTCTTTCTCAGCTGCGTCCTCGCCCGCAGACGCAAAGCGGACGCATGGCGCCCGCACAGTGGACGCACCCGCAAGCGCCCGCAGACGCACAGTGGACGCACGATGGACGCACGGCGCCCGCAGGACAGACGCACCCGCGGGCGCCCGTGGACGCACAGTGGACGCAAGATGCCCGCGTCTTGGACGCGGTTTTTGATAAGTTATTTCTTGGCAGTACTGTAATGTGTCCTGTGGTCTCATACAGCGTCCATGCATTACTACCTGTATGGTGAGAATTGATAAATGCGTTCGTTTTTTTATAATTATTGGAAAGAAATGCCATGTTCTCCTGTTTTTAATGCCAAAAAGCCTTGGCCTGCCAAGATAGTTTTACCAACCACTTTCAGGCCTGAACTAACGAATGCCCTCAAGTTAAAAGATCGGGGTGCATTCACAAACCGAATCAGAAAGCAGTTTGTGGCAAGATTGTTTGACTACTTCTCTCAGTTTTCATTGTAAGTACATGTATATGTGCATTTTTAAAAAAATCTATTAAATCTGTTTGCTAAGGATATTTATTATTTATTGAAAATAATTCAAGAGTTTTGATTGGTTAAGAGCTGTGGATGAAATCGTCATATCCGTTCGGTATCTGGCTAAATTTGGAGTTATGTCATCACTAAAACATGTATACAACATTACGACGTGGGTTTGTTTGCTGCCCGTACCCAGGCGCTTACATGAAGTATTCAGGTAGGCATCCGACGCGCGAAGGGGCTGTTAGGAAGGGTGCGTCCTGGGGAGCGCCTGGCAGTTCTTGTATACTGTCATGGCGGAAAAACAGGGAATTTTATACAAAAAGTTACCATATCGTCATATACTCTGTGTGTAAAACCTTACTTTGTGATGAAGAGTTGAATTGAACGCCATTGGCAAATAATAATACATTTGTAGATGTTCGATGACATGCAAAATGCGCGAAAAATTATGAGTAAATAACATGACAAGTTAACCGTGCAAATATTTCGAATATGCCATTCGATATTACATGGAGAATAATAAAATGCTATCAGTTGCTCAGTTAGCATAAAACAGTAACAGAGAAATGATTAGAAAGTCATATAATTGCTTTTGTATTAATAACTTCTTTAGCTGAAAGCTCAATCAGTCGATCACAATGCCAATGGCAATTTTTATTAAATGTATACTGTAAACAAAAGCCCAAGTAAATAAAAGTTCACAGCCGTAAAGTTTGAAATATTTATTACAATAGTGCAATTTTATAGTCTGTACCTTTATATAGTTATAGCTTACAAATCTAGTTCCTGCAAGTCTAGTTCTTCAACGCTTCGGTTGTTGACATGTTAATATTGGAATTTCCATGGACTTTAAGGGCATATATATGTCATATATACCAAGAATAACAGCATGAATTCACGCCCGGATGACAGAAGAATATTAACATTAGTCAATTCAACAAAAACAAGTAGCAAAAAATCGTAAACGACAACGAAATAGCACAACTTGCAAGAAATCGTACAAATTTGCAAGAAATCGACCAAGAACTGCCAGGCGTCTCGCAGTTCAAGTGCACTCTTCCCATCAGCCCCTTCGCCATCTCTCCCCACTACAATACTTCATGTAAACACGTCATATGGGCATCACTGCTTTTTTACAAAGAGACGCCTGGGTACGAGGCAGGGTTTGTTTGTATATTGAAAAGACATATACGACATTATGACGTAATTTGGTCATATATTGAAAATTTATGACATTATGACGTCACACTAATTTATGCTGCTTATGCCAAAAGCGGGAAAACAGAAATGGCTCCCTCAAAAGAAAGGTTTTTGTTTACAATGCAAGTGTTTACCCTAAGGCCTACTGTAAGTCCGATAAAAATACAAATAAATAATAAAACAATTATCAAGGCAGAGGTTTGTTTAACACATGATGAAGCACTTCATTCCATCTCGCTAAACTGTTGAAAAACCGCTGTGTTTTAACTGTTAAAGACCTCATTGAAACTTCTTGTTGGGCACTAAATGCTTGATTCTCCGTATGTATACGAAAATATATTAATATAATTGTTATTTATTAATGTTATTAATTTTCGTTTTAGGAAACCTTTCTGAAATTGCAATGAGGGTTTTGCCTTTTCTTTTGGGCAAGACCAAAAAGCAGTCGAAGAAAGCTCGAGCTGAAGAGCAACCTGCCAAAGAAACTGTCCTTAGCGACGTCATTGAGATCGTTCCGGTAATTAAGTTTGCTTTTTATTGCCTGCATGTGCTATTACAACTTGCAAACAACTCTACATTTCCAATAAATCTACATAACTCAATATACACAAATTTTTTCAATTTAGGAAGGATCCACGATTGAGGAAGTTGTCGAGGGTGGTCGTAGAAATCATCCAAGAATTCATATAAAAGGTGATCCGATACCGGAACGTGTGGTGATTGCGGCAGAACGCACAGTGTTGTTCGAGGTGGAAAGTTGCGGAATGGTTGAAGCAATGTTGGCTCTGTTGGCCACCTATTATGTAATATGTTTGAGTATCCTCAAACTTTGAACAACTTTTATTTATATTTACAAAAATGCGTTTTGAACATCCAAGATGGAAAGAAACTTCCTGCAGCTGTTATTAATTTTGTTAACGATTTAGATTAAATGATTTCTATTACGATTTAGATTAAATGATTTCTATTACGAATAACTGTTGAACTGGTATCTATTGATGGCTTTTATAGGAAGATTTCAAATTTCTCAACATCCTGGGTAAAATTACTCAATAAGTGAGTTTTTTTAATTTTCCTAGTGCCTTTTCTGTGAGTCAGATTAACTCAACTTTTTGAGTAGAATTACCCGTTAGTTTGAGTAAATTGTAATTTTACTCAAGATGTTGAGTCACTGTGGGTGCATTTTGCGTGAGTCAATTTTACTCAACTTTTTGAGTCAAAATTACTCATATATTTGAGTCAATTTTCATTTTACTCAGGATGTTGAGTCACTGTGGGTGCATTTTGCGTGAGTCAATTTTACTCAACATTTTGAGTAAAAGTACTCTTTATTTTGAGTAAATTTTACTCAACAATTCGAGTCACTGTGGGTGCATCGTTTTACTCAGCTTTTTGAGTCAAAATACTCAGGGATTTTTTGCAGTGTGGTCCCAGTCTTTTCCTGTGAAAAAGCGCTAAATATTAAAAAAATAAGACTAGAACTACAGGGTGTATCAAAATAAACGCAATTCATATTTTGTGCTTAATAACTTTCGAAATACTATCTCTAGTTAAACGCTTTTAGGCTTACTTGAAAGCCTGTTCTTTTATCTTTCAAACAAACTATTATCCTTGTCTCCAATGCTAGTAATAATTGCACAGGAAAAGATTTAGTAAACCTATCATTTTTAGTTGCTGTTTAATTATGCAATTTACTATGTTATTGTTTAGTCGGTTTAAATGTTAGAATTTTCTTCTTTAAATTTAATGTTGTCGTCACTACATCTGGAAAACCACGTAAGAACAAATTAAAAGTATTTTAAAAGAGACCAGGTTGTTTGAAAATCCTAAACGAATGCTAAAAATCATAGAAGCAAAACATTCTGGTGTCTGAGCCAGAGTGTCATCGAATTGCGATGTAATGTAAACAGAAATTATAGCAAGCTGATGTCAGTCAGCTTAGATGGTCCAAGGCCAAATTATATCGCATTTGAAGTTTCAAACTGTGTTAAAAATAGTGGAAGAAAAGCCGTAATTATACTTATTGTTACAATCCATTTATTAAAATGCAACATTTTTTTGTTTTAATGAAAAAACCCAGTTATTTTCATGAGAACGATTTGTTATTCCATCTCAATTTTTTTAATCTCCAATCACCAATGAGTCAAATTTAAGAAACAACCCATTGTTAGAAAGCTGAGTGGCTACGCTTTAAAACGAATGTAAACTTTAACGTTTTCGTCTATTATTTGTTTAGCAATTTACATTTCAGTCGAGGATTGCGCTTTTTTTGATACACCCTGTAGGAGGCCTAGGTCTAGGCTGGGAAAACTTATTATTATGCTGTTTAGAACCTTGCGTTCTATTGAATTTCAAGGCATCTGAAGCAGAAACTGGAATTTGTCACGGTCTCAAAATTATAGTCTTGGAATGTACGTTCCAAAAGCTTTCTACCGATGCCTTATTTGTGTATCACTAGGCCGCCGGTGAAGATAAAAAGCAAGTTATTCCAGGTGCATACTCGAAAAAGACGTGAAAGTTAATATTATGCTCTTTTGAACCTTACGTTCTATTGAATTTCAAGGCCTCTGCAGCAGAAACTGAAATTTGTCACGGTCTGAAAATTGTATTATTGGAATCTACGGTGCATAGGCTTTCTGTCGATGCCTTACTCGTGCATCAAAAGACAGTCCATGAAGATACAAACCAGGTTATTCCAGGTGCGTAATCGAAAAAGACGTGAAAGTTAATAATGCCAGTGAATAGGAAACTGGAATTTGTCACGATGTGAAAATCCTATTTTTGGAATCGATTGTCCATATGCTTTCTATCGCTGCCTTATTCGTGTAGCGCTAGACAGGCCGTGAAAAAAAAAATCAGGTTATTCCAGGTGCATAATCGAAAAAGACGTGAAAGTTAATATTATGCGGTTTCGAACCTGATGTTCTATCGAATTTCAAGGCCTTTGTAGCAGAGACTTTAAATTGGGCCGGTCTGAAAGTTGTATTTCTGGCATCTACAATCCATAAGCTTTCTGTCGATGCATCATTTGTGCATCACTAGGATGGATGTGGAGATAAAAACCAGTTTTTTCCAGCTGTGTAATCGAAAAAGACGTGAAAGTTAATATTACATAAGTGAGGGCTAGGGTTTGGCAATTCGAATCTGATGTTCTACTGCATTTCAAGGTCCCTGTAGCGGAAACGTGAATTTACGCCGGTCTGAAAATTTTATGTTTATAATCTACGGTCCATAGGCTTTCTGTTCATGCCTTACTCGCGCATCAAAAGACAGTCTATGAAGACACAAACCAGGTCATTCCAGGTACATAATCGAAAAAGACGTGAAAGTTAATATTATGCTGTTTCGAACCTTGCCTTCTATTGAATTTCAAGGCCTCACGAGCTGAATCTGAAATTTTTCACGGTCTGAAAATTCTATTGTTGGAATCTATGGCCATAGGCTTTCTGCCAATGCCTTACTCGTGCTTCAGAAGACAGTCCATGAAGATACAAACCAGGTTATTGCAGGTGCATAATCGAAAAAGAAGGAAAACTTATTATTATGCTGTTTTGAACCTTGCGTTCTATTGAATTTCAAGGCATCTGCAGTAGAAACTGGAATTTGTCACGGTCTCAAAATTGCATGTAGTCTTAGAATCTACTTTCCAAAAGCTTTTTATCGATGGCTTATTTGTGAATCACTAGGCCGTCGATGAAGATAAAAAGCAGGTTATTCCAGGTGCATAATCGAAAATGCCGTGAAATTTAATATTATGCTCTTTTGAACCTTACGTTCTATTGAATTTCAAGGCCTCTGCAGCAGAAACTGAAATTTGTCAAGGTCTGAAAATTGTATTATTGGGTTCCGGGGTCCATAGGCTTTCTGCCGATGCCTTACTCGTGCATCAAAAGACAGTCAATGAAGATAGAAACCAGGTTATTCCAGGTGCCTATTCGAAAAAGACGTGAAAGTTAATATTATGCTGTTTTGAACATTGCGTTCTATCGAATTTCAAGGCCTCTGCAGCAGAAACTAAAATATATCACGGTCTGAAAATTGCATTTTTAGAATCTACGCTCCATAATCTTTCTGTCGATGTCTTACTCGTGTATCACTATACAGTCAATGAAGATAAAAAGCAGGTTATTCCAGGTGCATAATCGAAAAAGACGTGAAAGTTAATATTATGCGGTTTCGAACCTGATGTCCTATCCAATTTCAAGGCCCTTGTAGCAGAGACTTTAATTTGGGCCGGCCAGAAAGTGGTATTTCTGGAATCTACTATCCATAAGCTTTCTGTTGATGCCTAATTCGTGCATCACTATGCCGGATTTGGAGATAAAAGCAGTTTTCTCCAGCTGTGTAATCGAAAAAGACGTGAAAGTTAACATTACATAAGTGAGGGTTAGGGTTTGGCTGTATCGAACATGATGTTCTATTGAATTTCAAGGTCCCTGTAGCGGAAACGTGCACCTTCGCCGGTCTGAATATGGTATTTTTAAAATCTACCGTCCATTGGCTTTCTGTCGATGCCTTACTCGTGCATCAAAA